GGTGCCCTGTGTCTCACCTGGGCAGCTCCCAGCCCCCCCCGAGGTGTTGGGGTCCCTCCCCAGCGTGTTCTCCGTGCAGTGCCTGTCTCTCACCCCTGTCCTGTCCCTCACCTGTGCCATCTCTCACCTGTCCCCCAGGTCCCAGCCCCCCCTGGGGTCCCTCCCCAGCGTGTTCTCCGTGCAGTGCCTGTCCCTCACACCTGTCCTGTCCCTCACCTGTGCCATCTCTCACCTGTCCCCTCAGGTCCCAGCCACCCGTGAGGTCCTGGGGTCCCTCCCCAACGTGTTCTCCGCCCTGTGCCTGAACGCGCGGGGGCTGCAGAGCTTCGTGCAGTGCCAGCCCTTCGAGCGCCTCTTCAAGGTGCTGCTGTCGCCCGACTACCTGCCCGCCATGAGGAGACGGCGCAGCTCCGACCCCCTGGGTGAGACCCCAAACGGGGACTGGGGAGGGGACACACGGGCACAGCTCCGACCCCCTGGGTGAGACCCCAAACAGGGGAATGGGGAGGGGGATCCCCTGGGTGAGACCCCAAACAGGGGGATTGGGGAGGGGGACACACAGGCACAGCTCCGACCCCCTGGGTGAGACCCCAAACAGGGGAATGGGGAGGGGGATCCCCTGGGTGAGACCCCAGACCAGGGGGACTGGGGAGGGGGACACACAGGTGCAGCTCCGACCCCCTGGGTGAGACCCCAAACAGGGGATTGGGGAGGGGGACCCCCTGGGTGAGACCCCAAACGGGGAAGATTGGGGAGGGGGATACACGGGCACAGCTCCAACCCCCTGGGTGAGACCCAAAACCGGGGGGGACTGGGGAGGGGGACACACGGGCACAGCTCTGACCCCCTGGGTGAGACCCCAAACGGGGGGATTGGGGAGGGGGACACACAGGTGCAGCTCCGACCCCCTGGGTGAGACCCCAAACAGGGGAATTGGGGAGGGGGACACACGGGCACAGCTCTGACCCCCTGGGTGAGACCCCAAACCGGGGGGACTGGGGAGGGGGACCCCCTGGGTGAGACCCCAAATGGGGGGACTGGGGAGGGGGCCCCCCTGGGTGAGACCCCAAATGGGGGGACTGGGGAGGGGGC